GCATTCTATGCCTGCCGTCACGCTGTCTCACAACGGTAAGGGAAAGCTAACATGATTTTACAGGAAGACAGATAGAATGTTTAAAAGGAAAGGAATAAACATGTAAAACTAAGAATGCTTCCTAGTATGGGGTATTTTAAAGCCCCACTCCACTATTTTTCACCGAATGTTATCAGGTCACAGTTTTGTGTGCGGAGACAAAACCAAGCAGTGGCATTAAGAGTGGTTTTCTGGAATTAAAGTGGAAAGTCATCTTTAATAGATAAATTTTAATAAAAGATTCTAAAGCTGACATTGGTATGATTCCAGGCAAGTGGCTGGCGTGTCAAGCTATGGACAACAAAGTGGTTATCTTCAATGTCCTCAACAGGTTCAAGTACATGAGGAAGAAGGTTTTCAAGGGGCACATGGTATGTGATCATTATTATTATTATTATTATTATTATTATTATTAATTGACTCTAAAATTGATTTACCTGTGCAATTTTTCAGTATTTGTTGATTGATAATGAGAATGTATTTAATTTGCTAAGTTGTGATTGATAAACATCTCTCTTCTCTCCATCTCTCGATCTTAAGTTGACCTGTATCATTGTCTGATTCCAGGTAGCTGGCTATGCCTGCAGTGTGGACTTCTCACCTGACATGAGGTAAAACACACTTCTTACCTGCTTCTTAGTGCAGTCTGGGTTATGATAATGACGTCAGTTTTTTCATATTTGCAATTTTCATTTCGTTAACTATATCAGGAAAGTGGTGCACTCTCCTTTTTGCTGATATTTCACAGGGCGTTAAATTTGACAGTTGTATTTGTAAATGCCCCATATGATAAGCCTTGCTTTACAGACACTTAATCTGTTTTCTTCCAGTTATCTGATATCAGGAGATGCTGATGGGAAGTTGTTTGTTTGGGACTGGAAGACCACCAAACTGTACAGCAAGTTTAAAGCCCATGATGACGTGTGTATCGCCTGTCTGTGGCACCCCCATGAGACGTCAAAGGTGGCTACGGCAGGCTGGGATGGGGTCATTAAGTACTGGGATTAAGGAAGGTTTATACAGGGATAACTGGAACATCTCCCTTTCAAAGTTTGACTGCAGCTGACAATGCAATATGTGTGTAAAGCCTGTCTGTGACTGAGAGTTGGAAAGTTAGGGCAGCATTCCAATATTGCAGCACAAGATAAAGAGGGTTTACACAAGCATGACAAGGCCATCTACCTTCAATCCTGGATTGTAACTGTGATGTTTTGGGTGTAACCTGTCTGAGGCACTCTCAACTGTTGAAATGCAAAGAATAGGTGATTAGTGAAGTACTGAAATGAAAGATATGAAGCTATAATGCAGTTAAATAGGTAAATAGACACATGAAGGAAGATAAAAAGTAGCAGTGTTATAGTGTCAGCCTTCCTCTCCACCCAGGACATCTCACTCATCTTGTAAAGAGAGTGTTTTTAACCTGTTCATCTTTGAAATTCAATGAGAATCTGAGATATACCTCTGCTGGTAACTGAAAACCTTATAATTTCTAAGACTGCAGTGGGACGAATACTTCAATACTTGATGATGGATACTTTGGCATGGACACTTGTAGAAATGTTTTAGAAATTATGAAATAATTGAAAAAATTTAACTACATGTACAGCTTTTGGATGATATTGTGCAAAGAGTATAAACAAGTTTCTTCTTTGAGCCATGTGATCCAGGATGGGAGTTAATTTTGAGATGTAACAGCAACAAATACTGTAAACTGAAACAGTGTACTTTTATTTTATACAAATATACATATGTACATAAAACTAATAACATTTTATCAAATGAAAATAAAACCTGGTATTTATAAAAATCTGAGCAGTTATTGCAGTATTTACACCTTGTTACTTTTTCTGTTTAATAGAAATCTCATGAGTGTGACTAAACTAGAAACATGAATAGTTGATATTTTCCTGCAATGTATAGATGTGTATAATACTGCATTCAATGTGCTTTAGAATATAAATTTACATCTTTTTACTTATAAAATAGCAAAAACAAACTGGGATTGAAACCATCTTGTTAATGGAAACTATAAACTGTACCTGTTACATATATGTGTCCTCTAAACAATAACAAAGTTTCCCAAACACAGTTCTCCACCCTGAATTGAAGACTACTGAAATATACTTAAAACATTCCTATGCCTGTTTCAAAGCCAGTTTTACAAGTAAAATCAGGACGACCCCACACAGCCCCCTCACCCCAAACATAATGTCACATCACAAAGTTCCTTATCAAAACCTGTCACATGCCAGGCTATGTAGTTGTTTATATAGCATGCTATGAGTAAAACCATGGAAACAAAAGTGATGCTAATTGTTTTATATTTTTCTTGAAATATAACAATTCCCTGAGCTATTCAACCGCCATATCTTCCTTTACCAGCTTGATCAAAATTTTACATACCAGAAGAAAAAAACGTGTGTCACGTGTGCAAGTTTTGAAAAAAAAGTTCGTGGCTTGAAACTTGTGTGAATTCCACCCATAACATCTGTGCAACAACTGGATCCGCGGTTCTCGTGACTAGGTCCTCGCCTGTGAAACGCGATGACATCAGATTTAAATACGCCTTTCTTAAATAGTTTTGAGAACAAATCGTATCAATTTGATCACAGGAGTCTGTTATTTATCATATTCCGTGTCCTGTTATATCGCCAATATTTTTTGTCATGTGGTATTTGCCTTTAACTCAGTATTCCGCTATAACACAAATGTTTGTAATATGTTATATGCCTTTTATCCCAGTTTTTCGCTATAACGCTAATACTTGTTGTGTTATATGCCTTTATCTCAGTATTCCGTTATAACATCATTAATTGTTATATGCTATATCCTGTTATTATCCCAGTATCCTATTATAACGCCAATATCTGTATTGATGTAAACTAATGTCAACAGGTGCGCGGCTCGGGTTTTGCTGTCATTGCATACTGCACATGCTGAAGACCACTTCACGGTCTC